AATAATCGAAGATTATCGATTTCTAGAATGAATTACAAGAAGTTTTAGTTGCTTAAGTAGTCGAGCATAATTGATTTTCAATCAAACTGTAATAAACTCTGTCTGCCAGAGCCTATTAAGTCAGCAACACAATAATGTAATTTTCCAATTCACCTTTTTTCCTTTATAAAGATGTAGCGTATTCAGGAAAACTAATTGTAATTCAACCCCAAGACTATTATATTATTATTTATTAATTAGTACGTACTATTTTTGTCCTTGTATGGAAATTTCTTTCAACCAAAATGTAAAATTTATTATTTTCACTTAAAACATTATTATTTTCGGGTAGCTATTGAGTATGGGGCGTTCTTAAAAGGAAAATTTTATGACATTTTTTATTATAAAGTTATTGTTATTTTTTATAATATACTTTGATGGGTCAAGTAATTTAGAAGATAATTTAAGTAAATTTTGTCACATATAATGTTCTTGACCCTTAACACTGTTGCTGAAAAACTTACTATATACATATGCATATAAACACTTATCCATAAAATTGTGTCTTTAAAAAAAATTTCTTTGTGGAAAAACATTTAAATAAAAATTAATTTACTTATTTTTGAAATAGTTTCTGTTAGTTTTTCATCTGTTACTGTTATTACTTCTCGTAATTGAATGTATTTTATATTATTACTGAATATTACTGAGTTACTTCTCGTAATTGAATATAATTAATGAAATTTCCATATAGCTGATCATAAAATTTAAAATATTGAATTTAAACTTTTGGCGAACATTTTTAAACAAAAACTTTTTGCATGCATGACTCACAATTACTTGCACAATCAATTGTAGTTATTGCAATATTTTCGATAATGGATTTACGTCTATAGATAATATATATAATAGCATTATAAATATTTTCTATAGATAAAATAGCTTTTAATACTAATTCTTAACTATAGACGAACAAAATTTAATCAATTTCTTCGCCTCTCACCAAATTTGAAATATTGTGTCTATTAAATGGAACTCGATTCAAAGTACATTCTCTGAAATAACCTTATTTATTGCCATTATTATTTTAAGGTAACTAAAAAAGTCATCACTTGACTGTTTATTCCCCAATATTACTTAATTTATTGAGAATAATTAAAAAATGTAAAAATTATTAAACGACTTAAATTTTTAAAATCTTCTATTACTTGAATTTTGTCGTTACGCCTTTACGTATGTTACATTTTTATAAATATTGCTAAATTTATTTTGATATAATTATACATAATTCGCAATTTTTTATATGTTGTAATAATTGTAATAATTTAATTTTATTGCAATTCAAAATATGTAAAAATACATTATAAGCATGCATTTAATTTAAAAATTCTCATACGTCCATTTATATACGAGTAAAAACTAAACTATTAAATAGAATAAAAATTTATTGTCCTGGAAAAAAGGAATCTTCTGTTTTGAAAATCACAACTAAAAAATTAATCAACATTTGAAAAATTGTTGTAGCTTGAAATTTGATAAATTTATTCAATATTATTCAATTAAATAACAGATCTCATAAAAATCTTCTGAATATCTTTGAAAATGGCTTTGACTACTTTTTGCACTTATAATATTAAAATCAACCTGATGTTATCGTCCATTGTGCTATCGCCGATAACTCAAATGCTTTTCAACTCAACGAGCTTATACAAAAACATTTGTTTTTATAATTGAAAGTTAGTTTATATATACGAAGTTTTCTAAAATCTAAAAGTGCATCAAAAATATGAAAGCAAAATAGTAATGTATATACTAAATTTATAATTTTATGCAACTAGATAAACGAAAAATGCAAATTTTTATTCTATAACAATGAATTGTACACATAAATATTAAACGTTGTTGTTGTTTTTTTTTGTAAAACTTTCATAAAACGAAAACATATTTTATAACATTGAAAAAATTTATAGAAGTTGTAAAAAATTCTATTTTTTGTGATAATAAATTTCAAATACTTTAGATGATAATGGAATAAAATAATTCTATTCACTTATATAATTGCATATATGTAATATGCACTGTTATACTACATACATATATGCACTGTTATTATCAAAGCGCATAATATTTTGAATGCATTTTTGTAAATTGTAATCATAATCGTATAGTGAGCACTTACTCTATATGTAGCAAAATGACATGAGTGAACTATAGTTTACTCGAACATATTTTATGTGTGTATGTAATGTAATAATATCATAGTGTATACAATTTTTTTGCACTATACAAAAGAAATTTTGAAAATTTTTTTAAAAATTAATAGTCTGGAATGCTTACTGTTCCAAAACTGATTACAATAGGTATTAGAAGACACGTGCAAAAAATTCATTTGAATTTTTTTTTTTGTTTTTTGTTATTTAAAATTTTTAAAAATTTTGCTAGTTTTTTGTTTTAAATTACAAAATGTAAATAATAGTCAAATAATTGTATACCTAGTAGGTATCTATCACCTTAAGAACTCATTTTTTTTAGTTTTTATAAACTTAAATCATTATTTAATATTGCAAGATAGTAAACGCTTATAAGTCAATTCAATACAACAGAATTTCATGTAAGTAGCTTAAATTTTAAATGCCACGTTCCTACTACGAAGCCTTTCAAGTCCCGATGGAAGTCCTTTTTTTTATAAATAAAAAACATTTTCAGTAATAACTTTTCTTAAATAAAAGTCAAGTATTTCGTTGAAAGTAATAAATTTTGTGTTCCAAAAACGTTCTTTACATCTTTCGTTTCAACCTTCTTTACATCTTTTATTGTAAAATTTTAATTGAATTAATCAATAAAAATTCTATAATTTTGACACTACTAGCATAATACCTAAGTTAGTACGTCAAAACTGTGAAGGCCACTAATCACTCATCTCAATAACAGATAATTTATTGTACTTTTTAAAAAATCCCGAATCAAATTTAGATCTATGTTACTTGTTAAAATTTTTCAATTCGGTCATTATTACTTTATTAATTATTATAAATTTTAGAAAAAATATATACACATAATATACTTATTAAGTATAATGGGTTCTATTTACACATTAATTTTAATAAATTTTTTAAATTTTTTTCTAGTTCACTTCTTACAAAATTGAATAAAAATTTACTAATTACTATCACTCTGTCTATCACTTTCTCTTTTCACAAAACCTTTACAATCTTTAAATTAAAAAGTGAAATTATGTGCAAATGGCTTTTAGTATTTTACTGAAAAGCTAAACTTTCGAAAAATAAATTTGTACCTATCCCCTTGCCTTTTAAAAATTAGTGCCACGAAATCTTAAATACTGAAGTTCTTACTAAAAATCAGCGTCAAAACAATAAAATCTTTTTGAAGCGAGCTTCATTTTCCTAGTATGAAATAACATGAGCGTTATCATAATTAATCGATAAATATTTTAATTCATCGCTTTATTCCTTCAATTCAATAATGACAACTTCTTATATTTTATTCTACTCCTTACAGTATTCAACATGAATAATTACTTTTATTAAAATTACTGTTGACGTCTACCAAAATGCTTATGTAACATCATCTTAGCTTGGCTTATTCAGCAAGACAGTCTTAGTTACAAAATAAAATTAATGGCAATTTAGTTTGCGTTTAGGTAAATAACCTCTAATTCAAATCCTTAAATTTTTATAGAAAATGTACTTCATTACAAACTACAGATTTTACCTGAGTTTTTTTTCATTTATTCATTTTTATAGTATGGAAATTTTATTCAACAAAAGAAAGAAAAAAATTTTTTAAAAGAAAAGAAAAGAGGAAATAGAACGGAGAAAACAAATCCTTGAAAATCACAGCTGCCATTATTAATTAAAACCCTATTAACAATTTAAAAATCTTACGTGTATTGCTTTTAATTATGTCGAAGTTATACAAGTGTTTTAAATAGAAGAGAAAAAAACAAATTTTTTATACATAATTTTTTGTTCAAAAATGAATTTATAAAAATTTATAATTAGGAGTGCATGAATTATTCAAGGTTGTCTCATGACTTTCATCATTCAATTGAATTATTTAGTGAAATTTTCAGAATTTATGAAAAAATCAAAAAACCGAAATACAATATCCATTAGTATTGTATTTTAAATAAAATTTTAATATTATAGTAAAAATATTGTTATTTATTAGATATTCGAATAGTAAAATAAATTTATTTATAAAATAAGGAAAAAAAACAAACAATTTATTCACAACTCTAATTCTAAAGTAATATCAGAAGAATCCTGAATATATGAGTAATAATTCATTATAAAATATTCCTGTAAATATGCTACAAATATTATGTACTTAATTTTATAAAAATTTAGGTTTTCCTTTAAAAAAACTGATTTGCAAATCATACAAAGTAATTTCATACGAACAGAAATTCATATATATTTATTTCAAATCCACATTAAGCACTTGATTTTCTTGTATATTTATCAATAATATAAAAGGATAACGCAGCCAGTTTACTAATTGTGTACTTTTTAAAGATAAATTGAAGAAATTATGTTTAAATTATGTATTAGATGCGTTTATGGCGATCTTATTTTAGTGGTATTCAAAGAATACGTTATTCAATAAATCATTTTATGCATTCATGGTAATTTATTTAATTAATGCTTGGTATTTGAAGGCAAACTACAACTATCAAATATATATTTTGAAATATTAATTCATTTCATTTTATTTACGATAAAAACAGATTGATTTTAATTAAATAAAAGGGCTTTATCATTGAACAATTATTTTACTCAATAATTAAAATTTAAGAATCTTCTGGAATGAAGATGAAAGGAATGAATTTCCATTAAATCAATCTTATGAAATACCATAATTATTTAAACAAAACTTAAAATATAAGGCAATCAATAAGAAATTTATAACTAAGTAATTGGCAAAAAAAAATTTTTACAAAAATAATTTTTCAATTAATAAAATCTCTTAGTAAACATATTTCTTTAACATAAACTTACTATATCATCGTATATACGCACTCATATAATATAATTATATGAAATTTGTAAAGCCTTTAGTTCCACCAAACCACTATTTTTTATATACAAGTTTTTCCTTTTTTCTTTTTGTAGAATTTATATGTAATATTCTATTTTTTAGCTACACATGAAAAATTTCAAAAACTCCTATTCTTTCAAATATATTATCACTCATTTTATAACAAATATTAAATTATATCCTTGTAAATATTGTTCTCTACTTACATACATATACATATAATAAAACTTATATATTATTTTGAAAATAAATCTTAATAACTCGTACTATTCCAGTTTTTATTTAAAAATAAAACTCACAAAATATTTCTTTTAACATTAGAAAATTTCACATTCTATGAATAATTAAAATTTTTTTGGCAAAATATTTAATTTGAACAATAATTGAGTATTTATCTTTAATCTTTAAAATTTTCATATATTTATTCATATACCTAAACGCTATTAAATTAAATTTTTATTCATTGAATAAAAGATAAAAAAAAATTGAAAACGATCCCCTTTTGGCACAAATTTGGCGGTATACTAAATTTTAGATGAATCAAGAACAAAAACACAAAATTATAATTATAAAAAGATTCTAAAATACATATTATATACTTAGGTACATAAGTATTTATATATATATGAAATTGATATAAAAATTTTTTTATTTTAAAAAATTACAATATTTTTTTATATAATTTTATGCTATAATAACGGAATAACGGAAATACAAATAACGATATCTACTCTTTATGAGAATTTACTTGAAACTGAACTATCATTATTGTTGGTTTGGTACATTTGACCAAAAAATATTATAATCATATCATCACTATCATTAATCATCATCTCATATAGAAAAGTAATAATAACAATAACAAGAAAATATGAAATTTCTGTAAAAGCTGCTCAGATGACTAACATCATTATATACTTTAAAAACAGCTGAGAAAAAATATATAAATTACAAAAAATACATAAATACAAAAAAAAAATTATATGAAACTAGACTTATTTAAATATTATGTTCTATGATGAAATTTAAGCTCAATGATAAAAGCTTTATTATACCAAAAATTTACTAAAGCGATAAAATAATTTCTTTATTTCTCATAATCTTGTTTTTACAAGATAGAAAAGAAGATAGAAAATCTCGTTAGCTTTTTTTTAAGCAGATTCGCTATAACAACAAAAAAAGATATCCTTTTGTCCTTATAATAAGATATCTCTTACAAATCCGAAAAAACCGGTACCTCCAATGAAGTGCATTAACATTAAAATGTAATTCCAAAAAGAAAATTTTGAATTCTGGTTATAAAAACTTTCGAAACGAAAAAAAGTTTTTGAAATGCATTCATTGCTTTTTTTTTGTAAAAGCTTAAATTTGAAAAAATTTGGAAATATTATGACATATTTTAAGCTGTAAAGATTCTGTAAAATTGATTCTTTCATTTTGCGGTTAAGTATATAAAGTTGCAAAGGAATTACAAATTAAATTAATTCCCTGCACCATACCATCTTTTGTCAAACAACCTTAAAAATTTTTGACAAAATTGCAGTATCGACTTATAAACAAAACTATTTCCTTTTAGCTCCGTCTTCTGTTTAATAATTTGCATTTATATTTCTTTTATACTAATTTAAATTTGAAAATGAAAAAAGCAGAGTTAATTTAAATGCTGAGTCTTAATTTATTAGATTTAGAGATTTGAAATTTTGTTTCTGTCCTATTCCTTAACATTATTCAAATTTTTGCACTAGAATCTTTCCCTAAACGTACTTGATTTATTGGCCATAAATATTATTATAATCATAAATTCGACCTGTAATTTGGAACAGCACAGTAAAATATAAAATGTTTCTTATATAATTTTTTTCTCTTTTTATTCAAATATGAAATGATATTTTCGACTTTTTTTCTATGGATTTACTTAAACACAATATAATTTGATGTACAAGATTTCTTTCATATTACAATATCTTTTATTTTGCAATTTCATTCTCATATTAAAATATGTTATGAAGCAATTTAATAATTTCACGCATGTGGCAATCTGACTTATTAATGATAGAATTTCTTTTAACTTATCAACTAAAAAAAAAAAAAAACAACTTTTTTTATTAAATTTTGTGGGAAAAGCTAAAATCGTTAATATTAATCATTTCGTTTAACTTACTAAATACATATGTATATTATCTATGAATTTTCCAACATTTTTTCAAAAAGTTAAAAGAAAGTAAAAAATTATTTCTAAGTTTTTCCGTTTCATTAGTATTGAATTTATATTAGTATGGAATTTGAGATCACTTAATGAATTATGTAGAAGGAAAATATACTTATTTCCTGTTTATTCAATTCTGAAATTTGTATTGATTTTTAGTATGCAAAACCTAATATTTAGCATACATAATGTGGTAATTAAAAACTATATTTAAAAATTACTATTAAGTAACCTCAATTTCTCAAATAAATTTCAAAAGAAAAAAATTTGGTTGGTATATTAATACATAAAGTATGACCATTGATATATAGCTGGATTCATTCTATTATATTTTTATTCATACAATAGCTATGGTAATCAAAAAAACACTAAATTTGTTTCGAATTTAATAACAATTACAGCATTTCAAACTCTTGTCCATACATAAATGTATTATTAAAAATGCATATATATCGAAAGAATATGGAATATGCTATATATAGAAAACAGCTTATATTAAGAACTGTCTTCCTTCAAATTTTTAATTAAACAAATCTTGTCGATTGACTAGCAGTATTAATATTTCAAATTTTCTTTGAATTAGTCCAGCTTTTATACACAAGCCAAAAATTTTAATTACATTAATTTATTTTGACTTTTGATTCATTATAAAGTTATTAATTTGTAATGTATTAAATTTTTAATATTGCATAAATCTTTTATTTATTAGTTCAATTTTTAATACATGTAATTAAAATTAGATTTGTACATTTTTAGTAATAAAATCTATTTAGTTTTTTCTTCTTATAAAAATTGTGATTTATGTTAAATTAGATTTCTTTTTTCTTAAATAAATAGCGTCAAAATAATAAAAAATAATTGTTTTTTTTTCTAATATTTCATATAAAAAAAAATAACAAAAAATAGAAATAATATAACATTCAAATTAAGAATTAATTTTTGTATACATACATAAACATTGCTTAAATGTAATGTAAAAATATTGAAAAAGCTTGATATTTTAAATTGTCTTAAATTAAATGAAAATGACTTTTTAAATAAACAATAGATAATTAAATTTATATGTTATTGAATAATTGAAAATATGACAACTTTGCAATTATTGAAATTTGTAATTTGATAATTTATTTATTTTTTTAACTTTTAAATCTTTTATTTGATTTCCAAGCAATACAAATTATCTCAGAGATCGAAAATTCTTAATTAAAATTTTGACCGATAAATTATTGGTATTTGGTATCTTACTTAAATTTACTCATCTCAGCATACTCCAATTTATGTCAACTTTTTAATACTATGTGATTATGTCAACATTTAAATTAAAACCAATATTTTTCATTTGCCATTGCTCTTTTAAAACCATTAATTTCTTAATATAAAATGTAAACATGTTCGAACTGACATAATTTATATTAATTTTTTTTTGTTTTTTTTTCTTTTTATTTGTTTTTTTTTTTATATTTTTTGTAATTACAGATTTAGTATTGTTTAATATTTAAAACGATTGAAATGATGAATATCATATAAATTAAATATAATTATACAATATTATTTATAAAAATTAAAGGTATGTTTCTACAATCATCAAGAATATAAATTATAAAATATTAATTTCCATATACATACAAATATATACATTCAACATAATAATTTTAAGGAAATCATGATGAAAATACAAATATTATTTTTACAACTAATTTGGAATATATTTATCAATCTTTAAAATATTATTTTTTTTTTATTTTCTATTTTCGCTATATGTTTTAATTGCAAGGTGACTTAAAACTTATAAAAAGGCGAGCCTTTTCAAATATTCAAATGAACATTGTTTTATGTTTTTTTTTTGATATAATCAATAATTGCATCATAATACACGGCACACTTAAGAAAACTTAAACGAAAAATTTAATTTCTGAGAAACATTGTTATCAAAATACTTAGGTAAGAAAATATTTTACTTTCTAATGTTTTTGAATTATTTCAGAAAAGAATTTCTTTAATCATTTCCCCATTTTAGAGATATTTTAAATTGTTTAGATTACCGTTTCATTACATTTTTTTATGTCTTAATAAATACTTGAAAAATTTAAGAATATCTTTTTTTTATTTAATTTAATTATTTCTTTAAGCTTCTCATAACCTTTTCAGGATCCTTTTCTTTTCTTTTATTAATTTTTCTTTCTTTTTGTCCTGTATTTTTTTATCAACAGCATGTTTTTTAGATAAAGGTCCATCATCTTCATTTGAATCGTTATTTTTAGCGGGCTAAAATTAAAAAAAAAAATGTCAAAACTATTTAGAATTGGACTATTTTTTTAACAAAAATACCTGTGCATGAATTTCGGTCATCATTTTTGCTCTCGATGAATAATCATCATAACGTTCAAGTAGCATTTTACCCGCTTCTTCATTCAAAGCGGATTCAGCATTTGGTACAATAAGTAAACATTTAATAGTTAACAATATATGACGAATGCCTAAGTCTGGCTTCCAATCCTTTTTCAAAGTATTAACACAAATTTCACCATTTGCGGAAACATTTGGATGAAATATTTTTGTTAAAAAAAATGCTTTAGGTGGTGTTTGAGGGAAATCTTTCCCCAAGGCAAGTTTAACACGAAATGCACCACCATTGTAAGGAGTTCCGGCTAAAATAAAAGCAAAATTAATTTCAGTATTTAATACTTCATTTAACTAAATAAAACTTAAATATATTATGTACAGATTTTGATTTATTTTTAAAGTTATAGCATATTACAATGAACAGAAAGCAATTTTTTTTTATTGAAATTGTAAAATATCAAAAAAACTATACATATTTTGAGCACATTGTATATTATAGAAAATTGCAATCGAGCATAAAGTAAACAATTTGACAATTTTCGTATATGTTATCGCTAGTTGTATTAATTTATCATAACTAGCAAGCACTTCATAAATTAAGTAGGTATATGTATATGTATTGTACCTATTATATCGCGATTTATTCCCAACTGCCTAACTTAGTATAACGAACATTTTTACGATATAATTTAATATCTTTTTATGAAGTATTAAAAGACTTAAAGTGGATTTAACCAATTTGCAATTAAATGGACAGATGTACACACATGTACAGGTAACTATATAAAACAAACACTTATTAAATACATTTAAAGTACACTTATGAGGAACACTTATTTAGAAACTATGTATGGATGTACATATGCACGTCAATATCAGAACCATAAGATGGAAAAAAATTAACTTGTGTAATTTAAAAATATAACCAAAGCAATATTGTCAAATAACTTTGTAATAAAAACTTACCAGGCCCTTCAATAATAGCTTGAATATCGGTCACATCACTATCATTCATGTGAATTTTTATTCCTTCCAAGGGCTCATTATTCATTAGTTCATGCATTTCTTTAATAACATTTTTTATAGTTTGGGGCGACAGGTTTTCAACATTGGACATTTGCTAAAAAAAAAACATCAAATATATTGTTTTATAAATATTGGGTAAATTTCAACTATTGACAAAAAAGTGAAAAAAAACAAACAGGAAGTTTCCCACGGTTTCTTTGTACTAACTTTCTAATTAGTTTTCTTTTAATATTACGCTTTTCATACTTACTGAATTCATTTTATATATAATATCTTCGGTACAAGTAAATGGAAAAATTTCATAAAATTTTAAATAATTGAAAACTTTTTAAAGCGATATTAATAAAATAATTAAAATTACGAATTTATTAACTTTTCCCAGAATAAAATTATGTCGATTTTTGACGTCTTCAAATTTATATCATGAAGTTTTATAAAAATACGGCAGCACTACTACGATTCTCGAAATTCCTAAGATGAAAGGGAAAGTTGTATAATTGTTTTGTATAAACTGTCATTTCATTTTAAATTTTTTACGAGAAAATTATTTCGAATGTTTGAAAAAACTAAAATTTTGAATAAAAATTAAAAAAAAATATGTTGAAAAATATAAAGAAAAACTCGTAAATTAAATTAAGTCTTTGGCATTATAAATAAAAACAATAAATTGGCCTTTTATTGACATCAAACTTAAATTTTGTTTTGAAATGAGGTGGGGCATTAAAATAAAATTGTAATTGAGGGATTGTGTATACATACATATGTATGTATTTCTTGGATTCCAATATACATATGATATGATTATAATTGAAACAACTTCTTTAGAGAACGTGGTATGTTTTGAATCTATTTTTAGGGCATAAATGTAAGAGGAAATCATTGCTGTAAAACAAAAACAAAAACATTTAATAAATAAATAAATACATAAATAAATAAAAATAAAAATTAAGCTAAAAAACGAAACTAATTAAAAAGAATAAAGAATCATACATTTTAGCATTTAATCACAAACAGCGGGAAAATGGAAACTCCTAATTTTAAGTTTCATTTAACGGTTTGCTTGATTTAAACACGTGGTTTGTATTGTAGCACTTTTCCCTTCAACAAGTGAAAATACTACACTCTTTTAAAAACACTCTGTGTGTACATACCAAATTAAAATTATTTTTATTCATATACGAAACTATTTCTGGGATTGCATATATTTATGATTCATTTCAGCGTTTATAGAAATTTAAAAAAGCTTGCGATTTTGCTAATATAATGGTACCAAATATTTAAATTTTACAAATTTCGATAGGCGATAACTTGAGAGGGCGTGAAGATGGAAAAAAAATTTCTTCTAGCGAAAGCCGTCAAAATTTCAAACTTTTACAACCTGGGGTTTAGGAGAAAAACGATATTAAAAATTTGGAAAGAACTTGATTTAGATAACGGTAAATTTAAATGGCCATTTTGATTTTTTAAAGTTCAATTGTAGTATGCCGCAATAGAAGAAGCAACCCCCTGCTTTTCTGCGTTCGTAAAATTTGAAAATCGCATGTAGTTCTACTACAATAAATAGTTGAAAAATGGCATTTTTGGGTTTTGGGGGGGTATAACTTTTAGAGAGTTAAAAGCAAAACAATAAGCAAAAATTTTTTTTTATTATTTTTTTATTATAATTAAAGAAAAACAGTAAAAAGGGGAAGCGAAAAAATGCACAAAGCAATAATAAATATAATAATAATAATAACAACCCGCACCAACCACCCCTCCCTTCTCTACCCATTATGATATTTCGTGGGTTAAAATTTTTATTATTATTTTTTTTATATTTTTATTAATACGAGTAGCAAAGCAATAAGCAAAATATTTTTTTTTAATTTTTTATAGTTTTGTTAAAAGCAAAGTAATAAACAAAATTAATTATAATAATATAATATTTCAGTATATAAATAATATTTCAGTTTATTAATATTTACTGTTTATTTTGCTTAGTCTTTAGTATCGAATAATATGAATATTTGAAAATTACTTGTATAATATTTATTAGTATTGCATATTAAGTTATATAATATTGAATATAATTTTTATAGTGACCTGACCGGGGTCACTATTTATTTTAGTAAATAAATTATTATTGTACTCGTATTATATTCGCTTTCCTTGTTTTTGTTTTTTGCTTTGCCTTCAATAAAAAAATAAAAAAAAAAATAAATAATAGTAATAACGAGAAAATCTTAAATAACTTACGGGTATGGTGGGGGCGGTTAGTGGAATTTAATAATTTTTATTATTTTGTGCAAGCTTGCGACTTTATATAATATGCCAGTTAATAATTCAAATGGAATCATTACGAGATTCCACGTATCTCTCTTGTCTGTGTAGTCTTGTCATATTTTGATGCTTATATTTTCATATATTTTTGCAGATCCCAAATTTTTCTAAATATAATATCTATCACTGATTACTTTTGATGATTTATAAATGAATAGATTCGATTTCATATTTTTGAAGACGAAATGTGAATATTTAAGAATTGATATCGCTATAATATATCATCATGTTCAAAATAAGAATTCTATGCATTTTAATTCTTTCTCTATTAAAAAGAAATTTTGATTTATTAAAACCTAACTTCCGAAGCATATTGCTAAATGCAATTGCTAGGCGAAACTAATCTGTCTATAACTATTGAAAAATTTTATGAAATAAAAGAAAATAATTTTACCAATTATTTTTCTTTTAACAAAATTTCAAAAATCAGTTTATAACATTAGAGAAAGTGCTTTAGATGAATTCTTACTGTAAAACAAGAATGTAATAAAGTTGGGTCAAACCAGTGTACATAGATGCTAAAGTAAATGAAAAGCTTTTAAATTAACACCTTCAAACTAACCGTGAATCAAAAGTTAAAATTTAATTTTAAACATATTTACGTGAACAATTTGCAAATGTTGCATTTTCAATCATTTTCAATGTACGAGTAAAAACTCAAATCTACAAAGTAAAATTGTTTTCATATTTTTCTATTACACACTTCAATACGAGTATCATTTTTTGCAAATATGTCTATGAAAATATATGTACATAGGTAGGTAAATATTATACATACATTCGTTGTATACATTAATGTTCGCTAGATATACATACACACATATTTATGTAATATATTATTTTATATTCTTTGTCAATATAATATTTGAATTAAACCAAGATTCAAATATATACATACATATTACGCGTATTGAAGAAAACAAAACCGAAGTTTCTACCTACAAGAATTGTCTGTATATGTACATAATTTGGAAGCATTCAATTAAATATGCTTTGAATATCCAACAAATTTTCTTAATATTTTTGTCTAGTACATACTAAGTAAATATTTTTTAATAGCTAAATTAATATCATAGTATTAAATCATTCAATATAACGCTGTCCTAATGGCAATATTTTCTATCTGCAAATTTTCACAAACTCATCTTTCAACGAAAAAAACTTAACTCACAATTCTAATGTTTCCCCAAATGTGTAACTTTATAATCTGTTATTTAAATATTTATAGTTTTATTAAAAATTACTAGTATTTAATCAAATAAAAAATTTTTTTTCTCAAACTGAAATTTCGCGATTTGGCAGATAGGAGTTATTGCCATTAAGGCAACGAAATGTTGTTTGCCTACTTGTTTATTTCATTCATTTTCTAATTACTTTACTCCTTAAAAAATCTTAACGGTCTATCAACATACACAAGTACATTATGTATATTTTCTTAAGCATTAATCGTTTAACAACGTACATGCATACACAGATACATTATGTACCTACATACATACGTACGTTTATTCAATCAATATTACAAAATACAAATATTATAAAAATAACCTACATTATAAAAGGAAATTTTTTACTCAAAATATTCATTAACAGTTATGGTCAATGTCTACATCAACATAGTCAGGTGTTATATAACTTTTTATTTTTTTGCTTTTAAAATTTTATTTTCATGTTGTGATACTTTTCTTTTACATAATAAGTTTTAATAAAATGCAATACAACTTTCTCTTTCCCATAAATGTTTCATCATAACTCGTAGGTTATCATAAATTAGAAAATTATACAAAAATTATATATAACGTATGACTAAGAATATGATTAAAAGATTAGTCAAAACAATATCGAAATTTGAAATTGAAAACTTTCCATATCTTATTTTTAAATATAAAATTTTAATGACATAAAGTGCAAATGCGTATCTCTGTAAATACAAATATTACTTTCAAAATAAAAATTATTGCTTAAAAAACATTTCGCGTTAAATAAATCTAAAAAACAAAAGACGTATAGTGAATAAAATATCGATATCATTTTATACTTAAATAATTAAGAATATAAGTTATCCCTAAAATTAATTTAAAATTAGTGACACGAAAAAATTTGAAATAATTTGAAATTCGAAAAAATCAATTTTATTTAAAAGAAAAGCTAATAAATTTATTCGGTAAGACTATTAAATTGTATAATATTGAAGAAAACATCAAATAACATAGTACTGGTATTATAAACGATTTACATATGTTGTAATAGACTTTACATATTTTGTTAAAACCATATATGTATACCGTATACATACATGTATGTACTAACGTACATAATATTGTTATTCCAAAGCTTGAAAATTAAAATAAGAAAAAAACAAACGCATTACTAAACGCAGTTGATATGATAACCAATAAAACACACAATTATACTCAAACATCAATAATGAATGGATGGTACCTATTTGTATATTATGTTTACTTCTTTTTTTCTCAAAAAATTTTAGCACAATTTGAAAAAAAGATTATTTACTAATTTCATGATATCGATTATAATCGTTCGTATGACTTTGTAAAAATTATACCCTTTGCGTTATGAAGCAATGAAAGTCTTGAAAAATTATACTTTTTAAAAACTTATTCAGTGTGATATAGCTTCTTTTAATTCTTGTATAACGCTTTTAACATAACGCTTATAACATTTAATTCTTATATAATTCTTATATAATTCTTATGTAACGGATTGTAATTGTGAGTTTCGTGCTGTCCGTTTATAGAACGTGTATATATAAAAACCTACGTATATATATAAAAACCTCAGTATTTTTTTTTCAGATTTTCAAGTCACGTATCTTAATAGCGGTTGTTCTAAGAGAATTTCCAGTTCTATATATACTAAAAAATAATTGTACATACGCATTAAGATTATAGGCATTCAGATTATAGATGCATAAAGACATAGGTAATAAAATAAAAACAGCTCTTATGGAAGAACGTATTTTTGAAACATACGATTTTACATACGATATTAGATTTTTAAAGGAAATGTGCTGTTTTAAAAGCCGTTAGTTTGATTTGAGTTTATTTTTTGAAATAGGCATGAAAAATTTTAAAAATCTTTGTAAAACTTTAAATCATATTTTAGTTTAAATTTTAAACTCGTATGAGAAAGTCGTTCGTTTGTTTTATTTTAAATCTAGTTTTATGTGTGTTGATTTTACTTTTTTTTTTATTGTGAATCTAAATGTTAAAAATCCTTTAATTTTACTAATAAAAGTTATTTATTTCAAAAAATCTTTCGATTAAAAAAAACAATGTCATTTAACAACAATAAAGGTGAAATACCTTTCCCATATGAAATAACGCCATTAGATCCTGAAACTAATACGGATTTATTGAAATATTTCCATGGTAGGTTTTTGATAATTTTTTGAATTTAAACCATAATTCTATAAATTTGCTAGTAAAAATTTTAATTTAAAAAATTTATGCATACAAAAGTAAAAATTAATTTTTTAACTTATTTAAAATTTAATTACCGTAATAAAGTTGACCGTGTCGCTGAATTTAAGAATGCAAAAAGAGATATTTGTTGGCCGTTCCTTTGAACAATAAATCAAACGGTAAATCTCAACTATTTCTTTACATACGTACATACATATACTTATGTGTGATTTAATTAATTTTATTAAGAGTGAATAGTTTTATTGCAAAAACTTTAAATCAAGTACACACACATAAAGTGTTTTCTTATAACTTTTTTTACACATTATACAAAATTTATCGTTATATCAGCATGCACAAAGCAAGAAAATAATTACATAGCATTTTTTTAATATAAACAATACAACAACAGCAATTATGGTGGAGCATTGAAAATCTGTGTCATTTAATTTAAAATTACAAAATTCTGTTTCTTATTTGAATTTTGGTTCTATTTGCTATTTTATAAAAGCTTTTTAAAATTAAAAAAAAAAAATTAAAGATTATCTTCTTATGTTTTGTACATTATTACGAACATATGCATGCATATACATTTTGAAATAATTTGCTAATATTACACAATAACAAAGATGACAATATAATAATGCCCATACAAAATTTTGATAACTAATCTGTCCTAAATTCAAATGTACAATATAAATTATATATTAGGTATAAGTAATTTGAATTAATAGTAAATACTTGTGGCAGTGAAGTGCAACTCAGTACGTCAAATACAATAATATGCGTAGAAAACATTGATTACATTTTCATCAACATACAAATGCAAACATCGCGCAAAAATTATCATGAACAAATCGTTATTTACAAAAATATATTCAAATTCCGCCAAATTCTAACTTTCCGAATTTAATTATTAGTATTGATCAGTACGTATGTATATTTGTTTAAATGAATTATTGAAAATTTAAAGTAGAATATAAATTTTATAATGAATTTTTTTACTGTCAATTATTTTACACTATAATTGTTCATGAAGTATTAGTACAAAAACTTAACAGTCTCAATTTACGCAATATTATATAGGCGACTTTCCCTTTTTAATTCATATACCCTTATTGCAGCCATTATGAACTTTGTGTTTACACATTGTATATTATTAACAATACTTTCACTTTCAATGCAGATAAGAAAATTTCTTTATAACTCATGTGCGTTATGATTTTATTGGTAATACAAATTTGTATAACAGTTTATGATTAAGACTTAGCGATTGCAAAATTTTTAAATTAACATTCAGAATTTTATTCTGAACTAAAAGCCTAAATCACAAATTTTATTTCTCTCTTTAAATATATTTAAAAAAAATAATTAAAACGTAAATAAATAAACCTTAATATTCATAGCTAAATATATAACAATATTCTTGCAGATGAGTATAATACATTGTATAACATACATAGATACGCTATAATACTTAATTGTTTATGAAATGTTTATTTTCGTTATATTCTCTTTTATTAATTTGCATTTCCCATAAAATTTTTCTTATCACCAATTGATTGCACTGAATCAACACATAATTATAGATTTATATTTTTACATTACACAAAATATAACTCTATGCATGGATACGTTTAGAAATTCTTGTTTAGAAATTCTTACTATCTCTCATTATATTGAATTCATATAGTATTTTCAATAAACCAACTAATACATATATTATGTATGTACTTATTCTATATAATTATTCTATTCTTAATCTCAAGGTGAACGAACTGGATTTGTACAAGTCGGACCAGAAAAGTATTTTTTTCCATGGAAATATAAAAATTCAGCTGAGCATTTTTATAATTTTCAAGCGCGCCCTGATGACATATGGATTGCAACATTCCCACGTTCTGGTACAACCTGGACTCAAGAACTTATCTGGTTAATTGCAAATAATTTAGATTTTAAAACAGCGAAAACTGAGTATTTAACTAAACGTTTTCCATTTTTCGAGTAAGCATAAATATGTGTGCCTATATGTACAGTTACAAAAATACATTATGTTATATTATAATATGTATATATATGTATATAATATAATTTGTCGTAATATTATTTTAGATTCTCAAATTTTATGCATGATGAAGTAAAAAAAGAACTATTAGAAGATAACTCTGATAATCCTGAAAAGCAACAATTTATTGAAGCAATTTCAGAACCAGGTTATGAATTATTTGCAAAAATGACCGAAAGACGTTTTATAAAAACACATTTTCCATTTTCATTATTACCACCAAGTGTAATGGAACAACAATGTAAAGTAATATATATTGCTAGGAATCCCAAAGATGTTGCTGTATCTTTTTATCATTTAAATCGGTTATATCGCACTCAAGGATATATAGGTGATTTTGAAAAATATTGGGATTGCTTCGAAAAAGGTTTAAGTAAGTTATTTTTTGAAAGGAATAAAACATTAAATATAAATTTTGTATAATGTTGAATTTTATGTATTATATACATACGTATATTATATAATATACAACGTATTGTATGTGCATATTATGCAAAACTTATTCTTACATATGTATGTATTTGTAATTGTATTTTCATAAATATATACATCCTTAGATCCTTGGATGCCATATTGGAGTCATATCAAAGAAGGGTGGAAACATAGGCACCATTCAAATGTTTTATTCATGTTTTATGAGGATATGGTAAAAAATTTTCCTGATGCCATTAGAAGAGTTGGAAAATTTTTAGAGAAACCATTAAATGATGACCAAGTGGAACAATTAAGAAATTATTTAGATATTAAAAACTTTAAAAATAATGAAGCAGTTAATGGAAAAGAATTGCGAGAGGTAAAGGTCTTAAATGATGGTGAAGCCGGGTTTGTAAGAAATGGAAAAAGTGATGGATGGCAAACTGAGTATACACCAGAATTAAGGCAAAGGGCTGAAGAGTGGATAAACAAAAATTTGAAAGAATTAGATATAAAGTTTCCTGAAACTTTAGTGTGATATTGTAAAATATTTATACATAAATATGTACATACAGATCTTATATTTTTATGACAATACATATTATAAACGATAAAATGTTTTAAGAATTTAAGTTTATTATAAAAAGATATACTGATAACTGTCCCCAACCTGATTCCTTGAAAAATTTTTTGTTCTTCTAAAAATTGCTTAGACACTAATTTAATTAGAAAAACACGGTAAAATAAGTTGTTATATACTTTTTCAGTTGAGAACTTTATGTTTAACGAATTGTAAACATGTAATATGTAACTCACAATTTTTTACCTATGCGAATAAAATAGAAAACAAAAGTTTTAGACTCTCGAAAATTTGAGTCAAAAGAAAAAAGTGTCGAAATGTTTTTTAGCTTTTTACTTTACATCAGTTGAAGATTATTTTGCGACAAACAATTTAAAAATAAGTATTTACGCACAAACAATTACAGCGCAATCAAAATTTAAAGAAATTTTTACAAATACGTAAGGCAATGCTATTGCTATTGCAATTATTTGCAAGCAGGCATGATAAACAACAAAACTTGATTTCGAGTATCATAATTTTAAAAACATATTTTCAATATTTCGTACCCATGTTTACACAATTTTGTAATTGCCCTTCGTTTGCTCAACCAATAAGCTAGAAAGGAATTTCACCAAACAAAGACAACGGAAAACCTATGGCATATTTTTATAGCATATTAACCAAAAACTTTATATTTAACGAGTTGTAGCTTTTCAATTTAAATAAAGCAACATGCAATTACAATAATCATGGGCAATATCAAAAAAGGATGTAAGTCGCATTCGCTTTTTTCGGTACATGAATGGTCCCTTTGTGAGACAAATTTTAATTTTAAATCAGTTATCCTATCAAAAAATTATAAAATGTTTTTATGTATATTATATGTTTATCAAAAATTAAAATTTAACTGAATTTAGCACGAGATATATTCAATATATATCTGAATATATTGAATATACCTTTGAATGACTCTGAAATAATTCAAACAAAAGCTCACATCAAATTTTATGGCGTAAAATTTTAAAATATCGAAAATAAGTGCATACTGACGTACTCATACAAAAAACGATACTTACGACATCTGTGGTGTTTATATGTACCAATTATAATTTAATTAGGCAACACTAAAAGTAACAATCACAACCATTTTATCTCCCAGTCGACTTAACTGCGCATATATTCTATGTAATCAATCGCCACATCTAATCAATAGAATTTGAGTTGAGACTTGAGAGATTTGAAGTCGCAAAAAAATCGTAAACAAAAAACGAACTATTTTTGTCAAACGAGAAAAACTTAATTAAAGTTAGCGAAAAAAAATAAACTATTTTAAAATAATTTTTGATTCGAAAATAACAAAATTAATTGAAGTTTGAGAAAAAAATCATTTATTAATTGAATTTCTATTTATATACGGATAGTTTAAAAAAAGATTTTTTTGTAAGAATGACATCAGTTGACCAGGTAAAATCGATTTATTCAAATAAGTAATTTGCTAATTCATGAAAATTAAAATTTTATTATTCAAAAATAATTTTCAGAAAAGAGCTTTCAATAAACTCAAACATGACTTGGAAAATTGGAGAGAATTAATTTTACTTTGTAATTCAGTTTTAAAATGGGAAAAACCATTTTATCCAGGAATTATATTTGGTGGAATCTCAGTTACTTTCCTAATTTTATGGTGGTTGGATTTATCAGTTTTAACATTGATATGCTCTTTAGCCCTTAAAACTGTATTATTTGTGAGTAAACATAAAATATAATATTAAAAATAGTTGTTTAAAAGAAATTTTTCAGGATTACTTTTATCCAATGATATCTAAATTTATATTTAAACCGGAAAGTTGGACTGGAGCACAAGAAAGCAAATTTGAAGATGTTTGCAATGAATTGTGCGTTATAAAAGATAAAATTAATTCATTATCGGAAATTCTTTTCAATGCAAAACAGGAAAAGTCAACTCTTGTAAGTAATTTTCTACATACATATTTGGTTAATTGTAATTTTTCCTTTATCGGATAACCTAACAATAAAAATTTTTTAACTTTAAATGAAAGGTTAAGCTATTTTTCCCTTAAATACCCATTTTTTATCGCATAGTTTACAAATTAAAGTATGTATGTAACAGATTAAACTGAAAATAAATTTATTTAAAATACAAACGAAATATCAGAACAGCCCCACCCATACATTTAAATTTTTTTTATCAAAGGCAAAGTAATTTATCTCTATTGATTGTTTTTCGTTATTAAATAAACTTAGCCTATCAATTCGGTTTTTACAGTATATAATAAAGATAATTAAAAAATCACAAATCCTCGTAAGTTCAAAGGTTTTTTTTAAAAGAGAACACAGTACAGTATCGCTATAAATTCTATAGTAATAGATATATACACATATAGGTATATATGTACCTTGTTAGGCACATGGTAGGTAATGCAATAAAAAAAATTGTACAATTGCTTTTCAAAATGTATATAGAACTTTTGTATGATCGATTTTTCTTGAAGTTCTATATGATTGTCTTTTAAAAATGTGAATGTATAGTTTTTTTTTATTTGGAAAATTGCAAATCCATAAATTTAGGAAAATGGATAATATTTACCAGCAATTTAATCAATATCCTGCGTTTTTCTTTTATTTCTGTATTTTCAGTTTGTAATTGCTGTTTCGGCTGCATTATTATTTGGAGCATATATTGGATCTGTAATAGATAATCTTTTACTGGCCTATATTGCCATTCTGGGACTTGGATTTTATCCTGGATTGCAACAACAAGGCTATGTTGGGAAAGCAATGGCACAGATTTCTGCTTTAGTCGCAGCTAAACTTCAAAAAATCAAAGAAAAATCCAATAAAACTGAGTAAAGCAAAAAAGCAGTTTTAAATTCTACACACGGATGAGAAATAGAAATATTACATTGATGTTGTTGTATATCTTTAAGTAAAGTATTTTACAAACAAGTTATTAAAAAAAACTGAAAAAATTAATAATTCATAAAACATCCCTTTTTCAACTCGATTTACATGCGTATAAAACTTATTTATTAAAATAAAATTTAGACTATAGTTACATTAATACTACGTACCAAAAATAAAATCTTATTAATTAAAATATAAAAAAAAATGAAATCAGTATTTTGAAATCCAAATTATAGAAAGGAAAAACCTAAAAAGTAGAGCATGCATGGTATTAATTTTCCATTTGTTATTTTAATTAATTTTCTTTAACATAAATATAAAAAAATTTTTACCAATTATTATATTTTAAAGAAAATGCCATGATTTTTCTAAAATTATATAAGCATGTATGTATATTAAAATTAAAATATAATTATTACACTTGCTTTAAATTAATATTAACAAGCGAAGTTACATAGATATTTTATATATCAATAAAATTGTATACTTGTATAACATAGTTTATGAATAAAATTAGAAAGCAAGCTGGAACTCTTGAAATTTAAATTTATAATACACAAACAAAAATATGGTTTAATATAAATATGAACTCAAATAGAAGTATAATGAATATATGTAATAGAATTTTTTTTAATGATAAGGCTTTTTAATGTAATTAAAATAACATTTTTACAAAATTTTTTAATATTTCTTATAAATATTGAAATAATGATAGTTTATCATTTTTCAATCAAATTATTTTATGTTAATTTCATAAAATTTGAATGAAATCAATTGAATTTGAAGTTTTAATTAATTTTATTTTATTATTTACAACATAAATAATATAAACGGTTTAAGAAAAACTTATAATTTGCTTATTAGAAATTTTAATTAGAATATAATATGAAAGATAAAATTTAATCTTGCAGCTTTTAATATAAAATTTTTATATATGTACATATATGTATGTATGCACATGAAATATATTTGTGAAAATATTAATATTATAACGTATTAATTAAACTTGTTATTTTTTTTTTCAAATTCTGAAAGTTGATTTTAAAGTAATTTACTTTCAATTTACGCTTAAATCAAAATTATAAATTAATACCTGATAAGTTTGTCATATTATGAAAATATCAAGCACTTTTTATTACAAAACTATTATAGTTAATTGTAAGAAAATGTTTTATTTTAACATTTTTTTTAGTAGTGTAAGTTAATTTTAATATTGGCATTTTAAAAATTGATAACAGAACAGAAGGAAGAAAGACGAAAATCTAACGTATATTAATTAATGCAAAAATGCTGCAATATTTTATCCCATTTGAAGAAATACTTCTTTATGTCACACATGTTCTCTAATATCTCATCGTTCCAATATTTATTATATAATATACATATGATATTTAATACATTGCTTTTTGCACCATATACTAAATTTTTCATTATCAAATACTTTCATTCAAAATAATCAACATGATGAATCGTACACGTTGGATAGTAAATATTAAAAAATAGAATTAAGAAGATTAATTCCAATTTTTTTAAAATCATTTAAAATTTCTATTTTTTTTTAATCGAATTAAAGAATAATTATGCATTTGTTTTATGTAAAACATTAATATGTTTCCCAAAATACTAGTGCAAGTGTAGAATTAATTCATATGCAGAACAAAGGTTATATAAAATAATTCATAGTACGTAGTTGTTATTATATAACACATATCAAGAAAAAGACACTCATTTCATAAGAAAAAAAAAACATTTTTATCATAAAATTTATATTTCAAAAAGCATTTAGAAGTTTTGAATTAATATAAGAAACAAGTGTGACCCTTGTATTATTAGATAAAATTAATAATTACCATTCCTTCTAATCAAAAAAATTTGCAATATTGTATGCTTTCTCTATCAAATTTTGCAATTATGTAATTAATTAAATTTATTAATTTCTTTTAAAAATTTTGATTGTTTTTTTTTTTAATAATATTGAATACTTTAATAAATCAAATTTATGCTATTGGTATCCGATATTTTTTAAAATGTGTGTTTGTTTGGAGTTTGAAATATTACAATTTAATCTTAAATTTTGTTTTGTTAAAAGTTTCAATATTTTATGCAAAAAATTTCAAAGTAAGAAGATAAATTGTTTTAGATTCTGTTGATATTATAAAAAAATTATCATTAAAATGGCTGAGGAATACTCGACCAATTGATATAATCTAATAAATTTACTATTTTTACGCTTTTGAATAAATTATATTCAAATATTTTTTGGCTTTTTTTGTAATTAAAACAAAATTTAAAATATTTTCAGCCATTTAATGATTTGTAAGTTTAAATTATAGGAAATTTTTATAATAAAGATTTTCAACACGCCTTTCGGTTTTTTCTGTTTTTTTTTATGTTTAAGGTAAAGTAATTAATAACAGATTTTGCGGAATTATTCTTTTATTCCCATTAATTATAATATAAATAAGTCAGCACCAAAACTATTTACATAATATATGTTGTGTAGTTTGAAATCTATTTCTTTTTCGTTTTTAGTTTTCTGAAGAGAAATTGAAAAGGAAGTTTTTTATATATTAGCTAAGCCTTAAGTAAAAAATTCATTTTGTGATCAATTTTTTTGTAATTTATACCTATACAAATGAAGCAGTTAAAATAATTATTAAAAACATAAGATAATTGAGCTAGAAATAGTATAATATTTCCTTATAATATTGTAAAACTGTCAATGAAACTTTTTTTTTTGGAAATAAATGTTTAAACAGGTAATTTGGATTCCATATAAATATCCATATGTTTTATTTATATTTTAAACTTTTTCAGAACCCAGTCTTATTTTTCGTTCCTTAAAGAAAAATCCATCCAAAATTAATTAAACGATGAGGTTACAATTGAAAAATTCAATTTTATTATTAATATTTATGATTAAACATCATTTTATATTTTAACATTTCAATTGAAGATTTTAATTTAAAATTTAAATAACAATATCTTTGTTACTGATTATTGGTGGTGAAACGCGCTGTTTTACTTTGTTTCCATTTAAAATTCTTGAAATATGAATTGGAATGTTGATAACATTAACATTTAAAATCAGTGCGGCGAAAACATATTCCTTTGGATTAACTGAATATTCATGTCTATTATTTACCATCAAATGAATATCATATATCATATAAAATGAAAAAACTATTGTAATGAGAGATGAAAATACTAATTCCAATGTGGTTGGATCGAGTAACATATTAATTGTAACAATTTCTACTAAAATAGTAGACAAAGTTAGAACGGCACACCGATAAACAGTGACATATCGTTCTTTTTGTACCATAAATAAAATTAAGCTAATACATACACCAATCATTAAGCCAATTGTCATAAATATGATCATTGTGTCATATTTTTCCGATATTTTTCCAAAAAGGAATGATTCCGTTATAGTAAACAAAACTAAGGCTAATATGCTTTTCTGCAAAATTCGATATGATTTTCCCACCAATAGTATTATAAAAAATATTTCAAAAAATATAAAACATGAAATCACAGCAAAACTATTAATTTCTGCAATCCAAATTCTGGCCGGACGAAAAAATAGAAATATCGAAACTAATCCAAATAAAGTAATAAAATGCATCAATAAAACAATATATACTTTTTTCATAAATTCTTTACGGGATTTCCCATCTAAAATGCCGGATTGTTCTGTTTCTTTGTTCAAAGCACTTTTTTTTTTATCTTCCAATGTTATATTAGTATCACATTCTATACATTTTGAAGATTTTTGTAAATCAAGTTTCGGAGACAACTTGTTATTATCAAATGGTAAATTACCATTTTTTTGCGAACTATTGAACTGCAGATTACCATATAATTGACAATTAGATATAAAATACAAATTTTTCTTTTGTGATTCTGATGAATCTTCAAGCAGTTGATTACGTTCTGTGGTAGTTGACTGATCATTTGAAATATGATCCGTTGATAATTGATCTAAAATGAAGAGAATAAAATCAAAATTATTGATAAATTGCATTTTTTCTTTCACCTAATCTTAAAAAAAAAATTTTAAAGTAGGGAACCATATGATGTATGTATGTACCTACTACTTTGGTTGCGTTATCAAAATTTGATCGAATTTCACAATTTATTGATAAATTTTATATTTGCAATTTTTTGAAACGACATTTCATAAACGCGTTTCATAACTTTTTTCTAACATGAATTTAAATATTAAAAACTAGTAATTAGAGAAAACATACTAAATAGTTAATGGCGAGAGATACTAACCTCCTAATAAATTCTTTGCGTCTAATTCATCCATTTTAAGTATTAAAAAATATATATGAATAAAAAATTATGATAATATTACTTAAAATCATGAAATAACTTTCCAATTTCTCCTTGTACATATGTACATATAAATACGTAGGCACATGTATATGTACATCTACATAAGTATGTATGTAATATATTATTATTTTTAAACAATTTTTAATAAGAAAATTGAAAAATTCAATCGTTTCTCATTTAAGCTGCAGATTAACTAAAGTTTATTTCATAGATGTTCATACGATCATACAGATATGATAATTTTCTTTATTTTTTCTTTTTTTTGCGAAATTATACAATATCTTTGGTGGTACGGGTTTTCCATTATTTTTTTTGATTCGAAGTAAAAAAAAAATAAAGCATGAATAACACAAAAAAAAATTGCAAAGCTCCGCAGGTCAATTTCTGTCTGACGTGAATAAAATTATAATGAAAAATAAAATTCAAATTAAAAAATTATGTTGAAAAAAGTAAAAGTTGCCTTACGTGGCAATAAGAAACGCTTTTATAAATCTAATAAAGTTTGACTTAAAACCAGATTCTGAAATAAAAAGCTTTTATTGAACTTCTAAATAACTTCTGATTTCCTACTAATAGCGAATTTATTATTGAATTTAGAAATTATTGAATTTTTTTGCGTCACGCTCTAATTCCCACAAAACTTTTGCACCTATCATAGAATGGTATACATATAACATTTTTACATAGTTAAAGTCATTAATATTAAAGCCAATAATATATTAGTCCGTTGTAAATAAGCAAAGATAAAATACAAAGCACAAAAATAGTAATGTACATATTTACAAATTTCAATGGCATAGTAGTAATTCATACAAATTAATTTAAAGATTTTACGCTGAATGGAAATTTAAAATGTTTTTTCAAGTTTAAAAGTTTTTTTTATAAATTTAAATTTTAATGCAAAATGGCATTCTTAGAAGTTCATGTATGTAGCAATTTAAACACAAAAACTAAAATATTACAATAGGTATTTTTTTTTATTCCTCTGGTTTACACATTTAAGCAGAGGCTCTTAATCTTTTGATATCTAGACATTTACCATAAAATAATTAAAAGTGATAAAATTTGTCATTACTTTAAATCAAATGCCAAATTAAAAAATTTTATTTTCTATAATTTTTTTATTTAATTTTATAATAAATACAAAATTATAAATTCTATTTTATTATCATTACAAAACTATTTCTTTTCAAACAAAATCTCTAAATTTTAGAAAGTTCCGAAGAAAGTCGCTATTTACCGATTGACAATCACTGCATTAAGTTATACTCGTATTATCAAAAAAAAAAAATTATATTCGACTTGTTTGCGGTTTTTTATATTTTTAATGCTTTTTTTTACAACAATTTAGTTTACTTAAGCAAAAATTAATTCTCAACCATTTTTTTTATGAAATAATAAATACAACTCGTGTGTAATAAAAAATTTATAACTTGAGCATTTTATGTTGTCACATAAGGAAAACTGTAGGATATAGGTTATAATACAAGTCTTTACTAAGGCTGGTTCAAAGATAACTAAAATCGTAAATCAAAAATATTATATGTGGAACATGATTTTTATTATGTGTGTAAATTACTATTTTACTTTTTAACAAATCTTTATATTTTATTAAATTATGCTACATAATTAAATTCTACATTCTACATATAATTAAAATTTTATTATAAAAATTAATTCTAATTTTATTGTGTCTCTTACTAATAAGAGCACAATAATATTAGCTATCAGTAAAGTTTTGGATAAATAAAAATGTTTGTCCGCTACAGATTGGAAAGGTACATATACTTGCATGCTGGATATAAAATTTTAACTTGGTTTTCATATGTAACATAAATTAAACATAGCTTTTTAACTTAAAATTATACAACGATTCAATAAAATTATAATAAAACTCTATAGAAAAATTTTTCATTGCAAATTCAAAAGTTTCTAATAGTAATTCAGCGAATATAAACTAATAATTATAATATTATGACAAAAATCTTGTTTTGCTGTGTGATGCAAATATAATATCACAATTAAATTAAAGCACAATATACAATATTGCAAATCATTATCAGTAAAATATAATTATTAAAATCAGTAATAACGAACCTTTTCGATAATCGAACCAAATTTTACTCATTATGATTCTAAAAATTTTGCCTACCGTATATTAAATATGGTAGAAAACATCGATCTATTAATTTAATATGACTTTGCGGTATTGCTGAAATGCTCTTGATGCACCATGAATTTATTATTGCGGTTACTTACTATTGGTAATTTACATTTTATTTTCTTGAGTTTTATGCCTCAAAAAATCTATGATATATGAACATATGTATATGTATGTTTGGATATTTTTAATGAATATTCAAATTAAAATATTACTTATTTGAAAATTACGTTAATTACACTAAATTACTTATTTAATCTTATTTTAATTCCGCGTATAATTCTTGAAATATGAAGTGGGATATTTATAATGTCAATATAAAAAATTAAAGCAGCAAAAACATATTCTTTTGGATTAATTGAATATTCATGTTTTTCATTAATCATTAATTGTGTATCATATATCATATAAAATAAAAATATTGATGTTCCAAGCGTTGGCAATGCTAATTCTAATATTGTTGGATTTAGCAATGCTTTAATTGAAACAATTTCAATTAATAGAACGAATACAATTAAAAATGAATTCCTGCAAACAGTAAGATTGAATTTGTTTTGTATTGAAAATAAAATTAAAACGAAATATACGCCAATCGTTAAACATATCGATATTACAAAAAAAATCGTTGTATTACTTTTTACTGATATATAACCGAAAATTAGAGATATAGCTTTAGTAAATACAAAAAACATTATTAAATTTCTAGGAAATGAACGGCACATTTTTTCATTTATTGCTAAAATAAATAATACCACAAGCAGCATACAGCATCCAATAACAACTAAAATATTATTCGTTCCAACCCAGGCTATTACTGGAGGGCAAATTGCAAATATTGAAATTGTACTAAATAGAATCAGGTTATGCACTAATAAAATAATATACAATTTTTTAAGGAAACTTTTACAAGCACTCTCATCATTGAAACGATATTTATTTTCTTCTTGATTTAAAATTCCATATTGAACATCATTTGCAACCATTTGACACGTGCGTTCAGACTTTAAAGATAAATTCAAAATATACTTTGGTGGAAAATTAGAATAATTGTTTCCTTTTACATTATCAGGTGAATGTGTATTAACATTATTGCTGGATAATTGAACATCTTCTTCAGGAAAAGAGTAACCTTCTGATGGTGATTGTTCTAAAAGAAAAAATTTTTTCGAGTTATTATATATACTCATTTGTATGTGTAACTAGTTGAAATTAATTGTAATGTAAAAAAAAACTCTTCCATCTGTGAAAGATTGTAATGTAAGTAATGATTGTTAATGTAAGTATATAAGGTAAATTCTTATTTTTTTTATTTAGTATAATACATTTTAGCTTCATTATAGCACAAATAAAATTGCAAACTGTACACATGTGCAAAAGAGCTATTTAATTTTGTTAACTTTTCTTGGCTTGGTAGTACCTTGCACATCTAGTATTCTCTGTGGTATCATTTCGTCTGAAATTAAAATTTCATACAGCTTTTATGGAAAATTTTTTGCACATTCATTTAATTTTTTTTTTTGGTACTACTTAAAAGTTTATAATATACCTGAATTATTGTTAAAATACTGACCTGCTAAAAACTTTTTCGGATCCAAGATATCCATTAGAAATACTTAAATGTATAAATACTCCCGAAGTTTAAAAAATGAATTATGTATTTTGTTATTATTGTATGTATTAATAAAATAAACAATATAGATTCGTGCGCTTATCGATATACGTGCAAGCATATGCCAAATTGACTTTTGCTTCAAGACTAATTTTAATATTCAATTCAGTTTTTTATTCCACCAAATATTTTGCTACTTACATATATATTTTTGCTTTTCTCTTGCTTTTTCTTTATTTTTGAAAAATATAACAAGTTCTCCACTGAAGTCTTTCTTGTATTTTTTTCTTTTTTCTTAAGTCATCCGCAAAAAAAACATTATTAAAGAAAAAGTTTAATGTTATACTACTAAAAGGTAGTATATGAAACTATGGGAGTATGATCGCTAAGTAAATCTATAATATTTGAAGCAAAGTGTTAAAATTATTATTATAAATTATTTCATAGCACTCCGATTTATGGACAAGGTGTAAGACTCATAATATTTAATACTAAAAAGTGTAAATTCAAAAACTTTATTATTTTTATTCAAAATGAAACTATTTAGTTCCATTATAAACGACACTATAGATCCTCGCAGCATATATTGAATTTTTAGAATAATAATTTTGAAAATAAAAACAAATTATGAAAAAGCTCTAAAATTCCAATAAACATTTTAATTGTAAGCTCGGAATTTTAAAAACATTCATGTGATACCGCACTAACATACAAATTTTTTTTTAATCTTATATGGTTATATTCGAAATTTATAATTAAGTGGATTCTGCTGTATTACGTTTAATTAAAAAAAAAGAAAGAGTTTAAAATTTCTTGGTATCATCTTTTTAAAAGTGACGTTAATGAAAATAAATTCACATTAAATGGATATGAAATTTTATTGAAATTTAATTTTATTATTTTCTAATTCCCATTTTAAAATGATAATTTTACATTTTATGCGACTCAATGGTTAATATGAATCCAAAGTTATAAAATACATGAGTTTTACTACAATTAAATTAGTTTCAAATTTAAAACTACACTAAGCCAATTAATGTGATTTGAATTGCATTAAAAAATTAAAAATACTCTGTTTTTATTTTGGTTTTTCGTTTATTTATTTATATATAATAATGTAAACATTTATCTTAAACTTATATTAAAAGTTATAAACAACAAATTAAACATGAAAAGCCTTCCGTTAATTTGCAAAAAATATAATGTAATCCTTATTTACTAGCTTCTCTTTTCTTTTTGGGTCAAAAATTAAGGAAAATATTGTTTATGTTTATTATTTTTAATTCTTATTTATTCAATGAGATATAAAATAAGAATTAAAATAATATATAGTTCTTAATAATTTTAAAGTCTTAAATAGGAAAAAAAAGATCTTTTAGTAATGATTTACCTTCTACATTTAAGTGAGTTTATATATGAATAAATTATACTAATATAAATACATATATTATATTCAATTAATAATTTATTTTAATATAAAGAGTTTGTGTTATGAAAATGTGAATTGATTAACAAAATTAGGTTTTTAATTGTAAAACATATTATCAATAATAAATTCAAATTTTAGGTACTTTTTAACGAATACAATATACTATTATAGAATATAAATATAATATTAGATTTTTGGTTTTGACAAAAATACTATTAACTTATATTCTTTGAAATATAAATTAAGCGACAATCACTACCATTTTCAGTTCAGTTTCATACACAATAAGTAGTCATTCTTTTTATTTGATTGTAAGTTATCAAGATTTGGAAGCATAATTTTGAAAACAATGTTAGTTAAATTTAAAGAAATTTATATATTTTTTTTTTTCGTTTTTCCATTTTTATATTATGTATATACTTTAGTACTTTAAAGTTAAGTTTCTTAAGACAAAAAATTCAAGTGTCCCATTTCTTTTCAATATTATGCAATATAATTTTTTGTTTTTGAAAAATCTAAATAAAAAATATTATAATTAAGGAAATCCGAATAAACATTTTTTCCATCACTTATTTATTTGTTTGAATATGATTTATAAGATTTGTTTGAATATGATTTTATATATTTCTTTTTAATTTAGGAATTGCAGTTTAATTAACTTGTTTAATTAAATTATAATTTTATTATACATGAATACAAATGTTGATATAGAAATCCCTTTTTTTTTTAATATTAAAATCTGTCGATTGATGAGCTAAAATTAGTGACAAACCAATTGAATTTTAAAATTTTTAATAATATTTCTACATTTTTAAGTTAAAATAATTAAATATTAGAAAACATCAAGATAATTTTATTAATATTTCTTTAATTTAATGTAATGCAAAAAATCAGAAAAAATAAAATAAATAAATAAACAATTCAATTTGAAAAAAAATCAGATAGTTGTTTCCCCTTTTTAATTGACACACAAAATAGTTAAAAATACTTAAGTTATAAATAGTCAAAACATTAAAGAAAACGAAAAATTTTGCAAAGAAAAAAGATATAATGAAACTAAATTATTAAATTTTAAACTATAGTTATATTTTAACTATTATATAAATTATGTAGTTAAAATGAGTTTAACAAATGTATAATATTCTATCTAAATTAATATGTATATTATTCATTTTCATTCTGTTACTTAACATAAATGGTAGAAAATATATTATTTCTATAGTTTCATATTATTGATATTCCAATAAGGTTTTAAGAAACATCGAAGCCCCTAACCAAGTTTTTGGTGTTTACATTCGTATCCTCACTTCGATATCGGATATAAATAAACTCTGATTGGTTGCAAAAACAATATTGTTATTGTTTATTAAAAAAAACACTGTCCCTATTACTTTAAAAATTCTGAAAACTCTGATGAATTCAAAGGAATTTTAATTTGTAAATTATTCTATTGTCTTTTCTAGTTATAATTTAATATAATTATTTGAATATAAAAATTATAAAAAATTTAATTTACAATAGTTTTAAAATATTTTCAGTTTATAAATATAAATATAAGAAACTTTGAACATTTCAAGCATTCAGTAGGATCTTTTGTCTTAGTGTTAATATAACGAATATACTAATGCATTACTAATCCAATGGTTTCTTAAGATCTTAAATACCCAAATAGTTTATTAAGGTTTTTTTAACTTATCCAAAAAAATAAACATATTTAAACATATTAAATCATATTAAATTTATTTAACGTATATTCTTTAAAAATAAATAAAAATATACCTATTTAATTAAAAACATTTCGTAAATTATAAAATATTTCATTATTTAAAAAAAAATGTATTTTAATTAATTTGTAATTTGAATTTAATGAGGTACATTAAGATTTTAACTTAATATTTTAAATCCTTTGGTGTTACAAAATAAAATTGATGAATTAATTGATGTATGATATAATATATTTATATATAATTGCATTCTTATATTTATATATTAAAGGTTTTTTTATTATATTCAAGTGTAATTATTAGCAATTATAAACACATTAAATAAATTTTATAAATAAAATGTAAACGTTATACAACTAAGCAAGAAAATTTATGTTTCTGTATATTTTTTTATATTTTTCGTAAATTGTTGAAAATTTGTTTTTTTTTTTTTATTGGTTTATTAATAATGTTAAGTATAATAATATTTATTTAAGTTTGAGATAAAACTTTTATTATATAATTTTCTTTTAAAAATTATTGATAAATGTTTGAAATATCAAATTTTGTTGACTTAAAGACTTGGATTTTCTATTGTATTTCAATTTATATTTCACTAATTATTTAAGACACTCATTAATATTATTGAATTGGTTATTTTTCATTTTAATATTCGTAAAAATTTTTTGTTGCAAGTAATTTTGCTATAATATTAGACTTTTTTAGTTTTTCTTTTTTATTTTTTTCCATTTTTTTTTTCACAATTTTAAAAGATTGATGAACGTATATATATATATATATATTTATATATATAATTTCAAAGGTTTGAAGTGGCTTTGGAGGAAATGAACTAACATGTATTAAATGACTTTTAAATATTATGCAACATTTAGATTTAGGAAAAAATTTAGTAAATTGAAATTATTAAAATTTTCAGAATTATTTATTTTTAAAAAATATGTAGTTTTGAAAAGGTTATGCATATAAAGATTCGAAAACCTTGATATTTATCCCTTTCAAAAAATTAAAGCCGATAAGTATGCTACGAATATATTACAGAAAAAACTATTATAGTTAAGGATAAATAATAATTTTCATGGATTCTACTACATATTTCGTTTTTGTTTTGTCTTAAATTCTTTATCACAACTCTTAAAAAGAAAAATTACCAAAAAAAATATATACATATAAAAGAGGGGGATTTTCCATTCAATATCTATTTTATCTTGTACACATGATCAGTATTTAAATAATAAAAAAATTTCTCTTTAAATTTCTTTTTAATCAATTTTTTCTATTTCTTTTATTTTAGTATTCTTTTCAATTCAATAAATGAAATCCAGCTCCTTGTACACACATTCTTAAAAATCTTATATTTACTCCGATTCCTAGTCTCTAGAAGCTCCAATTATTTGCAAAATGTAAATGAAAATATTAATAACATCCAAATAAAGATTTAATGCAGCAAAAATGTACTCCTCTGGACTTATTGAATATTTATGTTTTCCGCCCATCATCAATTGAGTATCATAAATCAAATAAAATGAAAATATGAGCGCACCAAGTGATGCATATACCAATTGCAATGTCTTTGAATGTGGCAAGAATATTTTAATCAAACCGAATAGCATAAATACGACTAGTATTACTAACAATGCCCCGCCACATGTCGTGAAATCCCACTTCGTTTGCAGGGCAAATAATGTTAATGCCAAACATACAGCTGCCGTTATACCAACAGCCATGACAACAGCATCTGGTTCATAATTTGATGACACAAAACCTAGTAGAAATGACTCAGCAAGCGTAAACAAACCCAGAAATATCATATTCGTTGGTGCCGTGCGACGAACATTTTCACAACATGCCATTGCAATCATTGTAACGAATAAAACCCCTAATGCAACCCAAACCATATACGAATTGTTTTTAGCCCAAATTTGTGTTGGCATGTGGTACACAAACAAAGCAACAATACCAAATGTAATCACTAGCTGAATCATTAAAATACTGTATACTTTTCTGATGAAACCTCTACGAATACTTTCATCCGTAAAGCCAATTCCTTTTATATCTTCATTTGAAGCTCCAGCTTCTGGATCATATCCATATCCACTCGAACTGTATCCTCCACCTCCGGGGGGTACAAAACCTGGTTGTGGTGGTGGTCCGTAGCCACCTGGTTGAGGATATCCACCTGGTGGTGGATAACCACCAGGTTGTGGGTATCCTCCTGCGGGATAGCCTTGTGGTGGTGGATAGCCTCCTGGTGGTGGATAACCTAAAAATTACAAAAAAAAAAAATAATATTAAAATTTTTGTGTAAAGCAAATTTGTAAGTATGTTTTAAAAAATGTATTAAAGCAATACACGTAGCCACTTTTTCAAATAATACACATACATATACATATGTATGAAAAGAATTGGAATTTAAGTATATTTAGTGCAAGTACATATTATGTACTTTTTTCAGTTTGCAAATACATAGATATTTTGCATTTCAATATTGCTCAGTCAATCAAAGCTTGAAGTATTTCTTAATCCTATTAATATTATAGACTTATTAAATAAACCTTATATTAATTAAAATAAATAGTATGTTCGTGTTCATTTAGAACTTTGTCTTTTCTAAATAGTGCTATTTTGTGTGCATTTTAATGTAATAGAATTCATGATTCAATAATTTTAAATAGATTTTCTTAAATTAAACTTCAAAAATGTGCAAAATTTAAACTATCAGTGAAGTTCGGTATGGTGTACCATAGATTTTTTAAAACTATTCTAACCTGGAGGTAATTTTGTTGGATCTAGTACATCCATTGAAGCTAAAATAAAAAGTTAGTATTTAAGTTAGAAGAATTAAAGAAATTTAAAAACAAAACAAATTGCTAAAAATTATTTAAAAAAATTTGATCGAAATTGTTTGAAAGAAAATTTCAACAAAATTTTTTACTGTTTTCAAATTAATTACAAATTTTTTTAAAAAGTTTTATACCGAATTCATTGAATTTATTTTAGCACTGGTATGTATTCTAATAAAAGTACTCCATAACTTATAAATAATCTAAAGATTAAATAAATACAATTTTATTTGAAATTTAAATGAACAATATATATATTCAACAATATATCAACAATAATTTAAATTTTAAATGAACAAGTTATTGGTTTTACTTTTTACTAGAATATGTTCAAGTATTGGCTAATAGTTTATTAACAAACTATATAAGTTTGTTTATATTATTCAAATTTTCAATTTAACTTTCAAATATTATTCAAATTTTCAATTTAACCTTTCTGTGCATTTATTTTTGATAAAAAGCGATTATTTGTTATGTTCAAATTGGGAAAAAAATTATCGTTTCAATTTTACGAGCTATTGAAGTTCAGAATGTGTCTATAAGTTTTTCTGTAGGTTTTTATGCCAAAATATCTGTTTATATTTATAGATGCTAGTATTAGGTTGCTTTATAAAAGTAAAGTAATTATGTGGCTAGAAAAAAAAGTATTTTAAGGACACTGGCAGACATGCAATTTTAAGTTCTGCAAACTGTTTGATTGCTTATTTGAATTCCATAGGTTTATATTCAAGCGAACAATCAAACTGAAATTACAAAACAAAAAATTTTATGCCTGCAAGGGCTTTAATTTAAATGAAATTAAATGAATAATGCAATTATTTTAAGCGTACATTTCTTTTTACTTTTACTGTATTACATATGTGTTGTTTATGTACGTAATTAAAGTGCGTTACCACAAACCAAATTTTAAAAAATTCGAACATATGTATATGTAAATTATTTATTCGTACATAAATTATTTAATCAAAAAATTCAACTAGATTACTAGTAAATTATCAAATAAGAAAAGTTTGAATTGACGTAATGAAATTTTTTTTTTGTTTTTGATTTTACGGCCGGGGAATTACCAATCTAAAAAAAAAATATGCATTCTTTCCTGGAAAATGAATTCATTTAAAAATTTATACAAAATTTATAGATACATATTTATATATACAATGTACATATTGCTATTTTAAAAGTTAAGTATTTGCACCAATGTTCATGCATTTTTAAAAATAAAATACGTGTACTTATTAAATAGAACGAATGAATCATTGTTTTGCAAACATAAAAACGATCAACCATACTATAAACACGAATAAAATTCTGTTTAGTTAAGCGATTTCTTTATATTATTATAACGATATAAAAAACGTTTAATATTCCTGTGAAATGATAAGACCTTTAGCCGTTTATATTTTTATATTTAGATAAAAGGAATCATAAAATATATAAAAGATATGGCAAATTTATAAATATTGCAACTAATTATATCACAAATATTGCATTTTATATGATTACAATAACAACACTATCTGCTTCAATAAGTTTTAAATGAAATATTAATATATATTTGTGTCCATATGTATGCATATGTATGTATAAAAAAATGTGTGGAAATGAAATTAACACCTCTTCTTATTCGTCTTTTATCGAATCTTCTTTTAAAGCGTGGAAATTTTATCATGTTTTTATCAAATAACTGATTAAATTAGTGTAACGTTTCAAAAAATTAAAAAAAAAAGGAAGTACATAATTAAAATTTTTAATAAAGAAAAGCTTTTCATTATTTAATTTTTATACTTGTATTTATTTATATTGATATTAAGCAAATACATATTTCCAAACAAATATGTATATATACATATGCATGTATGTACATAGTATATTAGCTCATGTTTTGCTAAAATCCAATTAAATTAAAATTTAAGTATTTAAGTAATTTTGTATCAATATGAATATTTCTATTTGAGAATAAAAATAAAAATCTGATGTGGTCCGCACATAACCGACCGCAAACTAGTTTAGTAAAAATGTTACAGAAGATTATAAAAATACCTTTGAATACTTCCTTTCAATTTTAAGGGAGTTAGCAAGATTTTAATTAAAATATCTAGAAAAGTGTAAATTTTTGGAATCCCCCTCTTGGAATCCCGTGAAATCCCCTAATTCGATTTCCGAGCCCTGATCTTTTCAAAAAATTTATAGATTCATTGTTTTAATATCCCGAATTTAAATATTAAATTTCAAGGAAATTGGTTGATTATTTCTCTTTATATACGCAAAAATGTAAAATTCGCCCGGGTAAAGATCCCGAGGTCTGATATATTCCAAAAGTTAACAAATTCGTTCCATAGCCAAAATAAACTCATAAATATAAAATTTCATAAAAATCGATTTAGCCGAACTTGAGATATCTAAAGGTAGACCTCTAAAAGTAGTTTATTTACGATTCCCTACTACAAAGAAGTGTCTTCCAGTAAAACTTGACATCTAAAATTTGGTGCAATCACATAACCTACTTCATTGTATACAATGGGGTCGGTAAAAAGTAATGAAAGCGAATATAATTATTTTTAATGTATTATGGATGTGTGTATGTTCGTATAAACACACTTTAAAGAAAATTTTATATTTTCTATTAATATTTTCTTAAAATTACTTTCAATGTTATAAATATTGAAATGAGCAAACATTATTTTTTAGTCCAATTGATCTCAGCTAGAATTTCGATGAAATAATAAATTTTGAATAAATAATCTGGTGACGTGACACTATATGACATTACGCAGTAATGGTTACAGTAGCGGGGTTAATTTTACATACAGTAATGGTTTACGTAATAATGTGTAATAATTATTTTTTGTACTTTACTTAAGTAAACCAATTTATATTTCAATATATGTTCGTGCATCAACATTAATTTTGAAATATTTCACATAGTAATTTCTTGAATAAATTGCATCATACATCTAACTAATCTTCGATAGTTAAATAAAATTTTAAATCAATTATGCACTTATAAGTTTACCTTTATTCACTTATAAACAATTAAACTTATCGAGTTTGTCATATTTTTTTTTCTTCTAAATGATAGCCTAAAAACTATCTAGTCAAATAATGTGTATTACTTTTCAAGTCAACCTGACTATTGATGCATTGGTTATGGACATCGGTCCTTTAACTGGGGGATCTCGGTTTCCGACTCCGATCAAGTCACTATAAAAAATTATATTCAATATTATTACTTAAAATACCATACTTATGAAATAAAACGCCAATACACAAGTAATTTTCATATATCCTAATATTCCCTATTAAAAACTAAGACACAAAGAATAAATACTATTAACCTTAAATATATACTTATATCATAAAAAACTACGGCAGGCTAGTCATCTTCTCAGTAAAAACTCTATGATGTAATGAAACTGGAGCATGACTATCAATGCATTAGCCCTATGCTTCCCCTAGCAGTGAAGAAGCAAAAAAAATCTTCAAGAAGTCTTTATGAGATTGTTCAACCTTACCTAAAATATGTATTGAAAAAAAATAATCAGAACTATTGCATCACTCAAATCAGTAAATTTTTCCGAACTACAACTGATTTCTTAAATAAATTTGTTGGAAATTTAAAATTGAGAATTCCTAAATAAGATTAAATTTCCTTGAAAGGAATATAAGCCCTGGCACCTACTATATTAATTCTATCTTTAAATCTATGAGGGTAGCATCTAATTTACGTATCGTATCTAGTGTAACAAAATGCTATTCATATAAGTAAATATTCAATGCGTATTTCAATTCGGCATTTGATTAGCCTTTTTAATCTTTTAAAATTTTTGAAACAAAAATAAGTTATGTCTACTATTATATCTACAGATACTAATAAATATAATTTAATGCGTATTTTAGTATCTGATAAAATGCTATTAAACCTTAAGAAGTGAAACAAGTTCGCAATGTAAAAAATGTTGAAAATCACTGCACTATATTCTCAATACAATAACTGTCTTCAAAAATACCTAGTACAATTATTATTTTTCATTTTTTTAACACTTCATATTAAAACAGGTATTTATCATGATATTATATGTTACATAAATAAAGCTATATATTGGCCACACATGTAATACTAAAATCGCAATAATACGCCATTCATGTCGATCAAAAACAAGAATCCACTATTTTATTACAATCACCACCATAGATTTAGAATTATAAAAGAATTATTGATGTCACAATCATTTCAAAACAAAATTTCTATATATGAAATAAAAGATTGTTTTGTCTTCGAAAATATTTTCTAAAATTATTAAAAAAATGTGTGTGTAAAAAAAAAGTGTGTGTTACTACTACTACTATTATGTTTGCAGTGACCATTTGTGCTTTATTTTAGTGGACAATAAAATATTTGCATGACGTTGTAAAATATTGC